TAAATATGACCCAAAATATTCAGCAATACTTCAGCAAAGCGTATTAAAAACACCACATGGACATGTAAACAATATAATGTTTTATATATATTAGAGCCAGACCGATATATCAGCACGCCGATATTATCGGCCGATATTAGGCATTTTCCAAACTATCGGTATCGGCAGTTATAATAGCCGATAAATGAATATTTCAAAAATAAAATAAGAACGGACAAAACACGCTTCATTTAGAATCGCTAAATAGTAGGTTTTAGAAGGCAGGCAGCAACTGATGATTGAAAATGGTTGATGTAGCTTGTAGCTTGATGGAAAGAATTTAAAAAGTGCAGGTAAAGGGAGAAGCAAGCTAACATTGTAATTATAAGGTAGCTTATAAGACAATGAAGGGACTAATTATTATTTTATTTATCATATATTTTGATGTTCCTCTGTTCTGTTGTGACAATAAAAGAAACAAGTTTCTTTTTAAAATGCATTAACATATTTTAGTTCAAACTCATAAATAACTACAAATAACTAATGTTAGGGAAATCTGTTAATGATTTATTGCGCGTTTCTGTAATAAAAATAAATAAATAAAAAAATATCGGCCGATATATCGGAATATTGGATTTTAAAACCAACAAATATTTGTATCGGTATCGGCCTTCAAAAGCCCTTTATCGGTCGGGCTCTAATATATATGTAATATATCACATTAAACTGTGATAATGTGAGAAGTGTTGAATAAATGTAGGTTTGACTGCGTATATTAAAATGGTTCATGTGTTTGCTCCTCTCCTCAGATCACTAACAACAAAGACGCCCTGCGCAAGACGTGGAACCCGAAGTTCACCCTCAGGAACCACTTCGACTCGATCCGCGGCCTGGCGTTCCACCCGGTGGAGCCGGTTCTGATCACCGCGTCTGAAGACCACACGCTGAAGATGTGGAACCTGCAGAAGACGGCACCCACCAAGAAGTCAGTGTGATGTCACAGCGCGGTTCTGAGGGGTTGTGGGCCGAGCGGTCGCGACCCCCCTGAGCCTGTAGAGCTGGTTCTCTGCTTCCCTTCGGGTCGGTCCTCACGCTCTTGTGTTTGTGCTCGCAGGTGTGCAGCTCTGGATGTCGAGCCCATCTACACGTTCAGGGCTCACAGGTACACTTCCAGAATATAAACACGTGTGTGTTGAGCAAATATGTCTTTGTGTTCAGGCTCTTCTAGAACTCGAATGTTGATTATTCTCCTCATATTCTCCATTGTTGCGGCTCCTCTCTTCCCAGTCTGTCAGTAACGCTCTGGTTTCCCGAAAGCATCGTTAGCCAACTGTGGTCTGTGTTTTGGAAACGTCCCGCCCCTTTCCATAACCGCCAGTTTAACACACTACTAACTTACTCAGCCAGGCCCCGCCCCTTTATTCTGCGCATGAATTATTATAATGAGGAATATTGTGACGTGTTCCCGGGAGAAACTCGAGGCATTTCAGGAGTTCAGGAACACTGACACTGATATAGAGGAGAACTGGAGCTTCTCATGATCACACACTGAAGAGTGATGGGAAGTGCTCTGTAATGATCATCTGAACATGTTCTGGTCCGCAGGGGTCCGGTTCTGTGTGTGGTGATGAGCTCGACTGGAGAGCAGTGTTTCAGCGGCGGCTTAGACGGATCCATTCAGAGCTGGAACACTCCCAACCCCAACATCGACCCCTACGACTCCTACGGTACGCTCCAGTGTGTGTGTGTGTGTGTGTGAGCCGCGTAAAGACAGCGAGTGTGTGTAGAACTTTTGATGGCTTGGAGGGACACACTTATAGTTTTGCTTATGGCCTTTGTCATGGATGGATGCACTTTTGATGACTGACTCTCTCTCTCTCATAGAGCCGTCAGTGCTGCGCGGGTCGTTGTGTGGACACACAGATGCAGTGTGGGGATTGGTCTACAGCTCGGCTCATCACACACTGCTGTCCTGCTCCGCTGACGGGACCGTGAGACTCTGGAACGCTGCAGACGCTGCTCCCGCCATCGCCCTCTTCAACCAGAACCAAGGTCAGTCACACACACATTTAACACTTCCGTTTGCAAAAAAATATCATTTATATTTTATTTTTGTATTTTATGAATGATAATAGATTAAGAAATATCTGTTATGATGATGATGATGATGATGATGGTTAGATGATATCAGCATTGAAACTGACCCCCAAATAACAAAAAATAGCGTAATAAAAGTCTTAAAGGTGCAGTGTGTAAGTTTTGGCGGCATCTAGTGGTGAGGTAGTGAACTGCACCCAACAAGTCATGCAGAGGAGCCAGTTAACCAATGATGTTTTATAAAATAAAATATTAAGTCATTATTTCATTCTTTAAGACTTTTATTATGTTTTATTATTTTATTTTTATATTTGTATGAATATGATTATGATTAGCTCATATTGGGATAGAAACTCGACCCATAATCGAGTCTTAAAGAAGGATTCAGCTTCATGGTTTGGAATGATCAGTGTTACGAATGTGGTGTGAGCCGTGTGTGTTTGCTGTGCTCCAGAACTGGGCGTCCCGTCGTCAGTGGATCTGGTGTGCTGTGACCCGGCTCACATGGTGACGTCCTTCAGCAACGGCAGGACCGGCATCTTCAACATGGAGACCCGACAGATGGTCCTGGAGCTGGAGTCGCAGGCCGCCGGGAAGCCCGGTAATATTCCCACACTCACATCTCTAATGTTCTTCTGCGTTTCTCACAGTGTTCACATCCACCGAGAACAGAACGCTGGACGCTTAAAATCCATTAAAAATTAAACATATATTTTTCAGAGTGGTTAGAATTCTATTTTTAAACGATTCATTGGCAACACTTCACAATAATGTTCTATTTGTTAACATTAATTAACTACATTAACTTGAACTAACAAACAACAAAACTTCATTTCATTGTTGTTTCAACATTTACTAAAACATGACTAATAATACCTTTTTAATATCAAACGTTGTGCATTAGTGAACTAACAGTGAACAACTTTTTATTAACTAACATAAAGACGAATAAATGCTGTAAAAATGAATTGCTCATTGTAAGTCCATGCTAGCTAATGCATTAGGCAATGTTGACAAGTTACACCTACCAATTTATTATTTTCTGTTATTTGTATTTTTATATTTGTGCACTGGTATGCATTAATTCCTGTTATTTTGGTACGTGACGCACTAAAAAACTCCATAAATAAAAATAAAAATAAAACTGTCCTGTGATTATGTTTTTTTTTTTAGCTAAAACTGCCCTATTAAATAAATGTAAAAAAAATGTAAACTTCCCTATAAATAGAAGATGAGTGTCTGGTAACGTCCCATGATCCTCTCTGACCTCTGACCTGTCTGATCCTCAGATGCGCCGTGTCAGATCAATAAAGTCCTGAGCCACCCCACGCTTCCCATCACCGTAACGGCACAGGAGGATCGGCACATACGCTTCTTCGACAATAACACCGGTAACGGAGGGAGCCCACAGTGATGATGATGATGATGATGATGATGATGATGATGATGTTGATGATGATGATGATGATGATGTTTTCTTCTCAGGCAAGTGTATTCACTCTATGGTGGCTCATCTGGATGCTGTAACCAGTCTCGCGGTGGATCCCAACGGACTCTACCTGATGTCCGGCAGTAAGTTCACGCTTGCGTATGGATCATATTCATGCAAACATTTTTACTGGGAAGATCATAAACGGCTCAAAACAACCCTCAAAGCATCTACTTTACTCTGATGTTGCTCTGCTCATAAGAAGAGATTGGCCGATCTTACTGATATTTGACCTGATATCTAAAGGTGTAAATCCAGCATTTAATGTTGTGTATGTGTGTGTGTTTCACACTGCTTTAAAGAGCCCCTGTCATAGCATTTGAAATGTTCCTATTTTTGTTTTGGGAGTTCCCAAAAACAGTTTAACGTGCATGCAAGGATAAAAAACACTTTATTTGTCTTATAATATGCATTTATTCTTACCCGATTTGCTCAACGACTCGTTTGACGATTCATTTTCCCAAACACCTCCTTTGAGTGACGCGGATCTGCGGCGATTGGTCAAATGACCCAGTCAGTTGTTGGGAGCAGCCAATGAGCTAATGTTTGTATCTATGTCATGACGAAACAGCTAATGACTCGTTTCAAAAACAATTCATTTCATAGACTCAGAGTCGACTCAATAACTTTATATACGGTGGACTTTCAGATATAAACCTTTGCAGGATGTTTTCATTCCCTTAGAGCTATAGTCCACACCATATGAACAGTCAATTTCAAAAATCCATGATAGGTGCGCTTTAACACACACACACCGTGTGTGCGTTGATAAGTGGACAGCATTGCTGAGTATTTCCTGCAGTGAACCAAAGACAGTCTCAAAAACACGCTTTGAAATCGCTGGTGTTTCTGACGTCACGATGTTTCAATCAGATCAACGTGTGATCGCCAACCAGTGGATCTCTGAGTGAGGGAGTGCAGGCGGGGCTCATTTGCATATTCATAGAACCGCACATACTAAATTAGACGAGAGTGTCGAGTTACATTCAAGATATTTTAATACACGAAAAATCATTTAAATATGTAATTCCGCTGATCAAAGGTGAGTTTTAACGGATAAGATTATGGACTGCAGGCGCACACACTCGTTCTGTCCAGTTTCCAGATCATGGAAAACCATGGTTGCCATGGTTACTCATTAGTTCACCTGTTTTTTCAGTTCTGTGTTGAAGTTATTAGTGTTCATCATGTGTTTATTGACTACAGGACGATTTGTTCAGATTAGTGCTGTTGTTGTAATTATCCAAATCAAATAAACGGATAAATATCAATTCTGTAATCGGCTAGCGGCGCAGAAACGTAATCTACAAAAAATCAACATCAGTCAATCTCTACCTATGAGCACTGTTATCATTCTGTTTATTAAGTGTGTGTGTGGATCAGTAAGAGGAAGTTGTTGATGTGTGTGTGTGTGTGTGTGTGTGTCAGGTCACGACTGCTCCGTGCGTCTGTGGAACATGGAGAGCAAGACGTGCATCCAGGAGTTCACGGCTCACCGGAAGAAGTTCGACGAGTCGATCCACGACGTGGCGTTTCATCCCACCAAATGCTACATCGGCAGCGCGGGAGCCGACGCCCTCGCTAAAGTCTTCGTATGACCTCTGACCTCCGACCCAAACCGCTTCCACGACCTCGAAGCTGATGATCCGGGCGGGCCTGGTGCTCGAGGGGAAGCACACACACACACACACACACACACGAGGAGCGTCTCGGCTCCTCCTCCGTTCAGCCTCACAGGAAGTGACACGCTTCCTAGAGTAATTTCTTTATTTCCCTTTCATTATGTCTCTCCTGACGTGAGCATTATTTCTCTCCTTTTAAACGACGTGCCTTTTGCTTCAAACAGTCTCGAGAAAGTCGGACTCCGTTCCTCTCCGGCGAGTGGAAACACACTTTTAAACTCAAATACGGCAAATTATGATCGCGCGCTCTAGAGCCGGGTGGTCTGAACACACCGAAGCGAGCGTCAGGTCCGGGTCCGGGCCGCGCTGGTAATTTATTCAAGACTATCTGTACATAATATAACACGAAAACGACTATGGGACATAAACCAATCAAGACGCTCCAGAGTCACATGACCAGCGCGTCATTAAGAACAGAAGGATCTCTCTGTTAGATATGCTAACTCTGGATTCTGTGGCGAGTCCGTCTTCTTCAAACATCACGAGCGCTAACGTTGAATTAATAATATTAATATTTTAACGCGTAAACCTGCGGTTTCTCCCGGATCGGATTAAACTCCGTTTGCCTGTTTCTGGATGTTTTTCTTTTTAAAAGCGGCCCGTCTGTGAAACCCTCTCGCTCAGATCCCTAACGCTGATCGCTTGATTAGAGTTTATGAATATTTGTGATTATGCAGAAATAGTTTGAATGTGTTGCAGTTTTTGACCAGCTGTACTCCGAGTACAACGATTCGGGATCTATATTTGTCTGAAATCTGTGATGTTTATTTATTTTTGCCTTTTTTTTATCTTTTGTTTCGCCTGTGATGCCAAATGAGTAACTGGTGATCCGGTCCGCGTGATTGGCCCTCGGAGCGCGTGGCTCGCCCGTGTCGCTGCACAGGTGGTGGTTTATGTGTTTGATATGTGATCGTTGGGAACAGATGCTAGTGTTTTTATCATTGTATGACTGGTGATCGGTCGCAGATAGATCGTAACCCACGTTTTTTTTATTTGAACTCTTCTGCTTTATCTGATTGGTCTGTGATTACTTGAACTCTAGACGTGCGTGTGCAGGTCTGCGTGTTTTTAACTGCTAGGATAGAGATTTCTGCTGTTACGGGGATCGTTGGCCTTTACGCGACGTCACGAGCACTACGCGAGAACTGAGTGTTTGTGTGTTTCCTTCAGGCGGGAGTTTGCTACTCGACCAAATGTTGTTAAAGGACTAGTTCAGCCAAACATGAAAATGTCAGCGTTTACTCGCCCTCAAACCCGGGGGACTTTCTCGCCAATTTTTTTTTTTTAAGTTATGTGACTTTTTATATCACAATTGTGACGTTTTTCCTCTAAATTCTGAGGGGGAAATATTGCGATAATTTCTCGCAATTACAACTCACAATTTACTTTTATCCTCAGAATTGACAAAACAACATAGTAATTACGAGGAGAATACGATAGGGCTTTAATGTCTGAATTGCGATATATAAACTTGAAATTCTGTGGGGAAAATTTTCAAAATTGTGATATGCGCGCTATTAAAAATGGTAATTAGGACTTTTAATATCACAGTTTTTACTTTCTCACAACTTTGCGTCTGTATTCTCCGAACTTTGAGAAAAAAAAGATTGTCTTGCGAGTTACTCAAAGTAATTGCAACCTTTTGTTGACATTTTTTCTGAATTTTGAGTTTATTTCCCAAATCTGAGGGAGAAAAAACAATTGTGAATAATTTCTCGCAAATTTAAAACTCAAAATTGACTTTTTTTCTCAGAATTGAAGGACAAAATAGGATAATAAGCCTGAATTGTGAGATATTGGCTATTCTTGCAATTAAAAATAATACTTTTGACACTTAATGATCTGCTCATTTTAAGGTGTTGAACAGAATCTCCACGCGAGGGTGATTAAATACTCATTTTTTTCATTTTTGGATTCTTCTCCTTTAAATCTGAGGCACGTCTGACGTTAAGCTCAGAGCGCGCGCGCGCCGGTGTGGGACGTTGAAAGGGAACCGTGTGCGTGTTTTCGTACTAGTAAATATATTTTCTGATTTCGTTCATTCTCGGTGCGTATTAATTTTAGATATATAAGAATCTCAATATGTATAGTTTTAAAGTATTGATCATCAATCTATTTATGAACCAGAAAACAGTGTATATTAAAATTGCGACGCTAACTGAGGATGAGAGGCTGTAGTGCTGGAGAGAGTAGTTCGCGCCACCTGCTGGTCAGAGATGGGAACTGGACAGCGGACTCGGCTACTGAACATACTCAAGTGCTAAACGGAGATTTAATAACCGGTTACTGATCGATCGACGCGCTTCTATGATTATCGGAAACATTTGAGTTAAGATGGAGATTTTGAAGGGAGTTTGATTGGACGATCGGGCTGTGACGTCACACTCGAGACGTGTTCCGGTTCCGCCTGTATAGAGCTGTCACTGAACTTTTACCCTTTTGGTTGTATAGAGAGAGTGGAAAGATTGTTAATAAATGCTATGCTCCTCTTGTAAATATTTTATTATTGATATTACAGTTTATTCTTGATTTCTTGTTGTATTCTTTTTTTTTTCCTCAGATGGACATTTATCAATATAATACAATAATAAAAGAATATGTTGTATTTCACGTGTGTTTTGTATTTTGTGATTCTAGCAGTGACTTTCCATGGGTTCCTGTGCTCATGGAAAACCTGGAAAAGTATTGAAATTTTCAATGGTGGGTACACATTTTTTGTCGTATGCTCAAAAATAGAATTATTTCATGAAGAATTTGATATTCTGATATAAGCCACATGTGAAGGTCACGTGTCACAGGTAATGTTGCAGTGAGTCACTGCGGCCACCAGAGGGCGCTGCAGGATTTATTATTTTACCTAGACTGAAATTCATATTTCTTGTTTTTATTCATAACCGGTCACTGTTTTTGGACAGATATTAATATTTCTATTCACTAAAAACACATTCAAAGTGTAAAGATATTTATAATGTTACAAAAGATTCTATTTAAAATAAATGCTGTTTTTCTGATCTTTCTATTCATCAAAGGAAAATAAGCAAAGTTTCTCGGTTTCCACAAATATGAAGCAGCTTTCATCACAGGAATTTTTTTGTTTGATATGAACTTCTATAATCTCACGTGTAACTGAAAGCGAATGACATAAGTGCAGGAACAAAAATAAACTCATTAATTATTTTTTTCATGAGGTGAAATGTTCACATTAGATAATGTCACTAAAACAATAGTATAAATCACGTCGGGCTCCAATTATCTAATTACTGTCTCTCCCGTGTCCTGCTGGATCTAAAGGGCTCCGCTTTGTGTTTAGCGCATTCATTTATGACTCATTCCAAATGTCTTTTTATTCTGATGACGTCATTAATGAATTAGCCTAATTAACTGCGAGCATAACAGACCGATCGCGGCTGCATACTGAACTTTCCTATTATATAAGCTGAAAATAAGTATGTCCGTTTTTGTAAAAAAGTTCCCGGATGAGCAACTACTTCCGGTGCTTTTTTTTGGGTCTTTTCATTTATCCTTTTTTTTTTTTTTTTTTTTTTGAATTCAAGAAACATACAAATATACACACATTCAGGAGAACATATGAGTTAAAAAAAAAACATTGGTATGTAAAGTCAGATATCTAAAGTTAGTCCAAACTGGGGGTTCGTGGACAAAAGCCCATATTAATAAGCTGCCGTTGGTCGCATAATGGCCCGAGGGATTGTAGGAGTTCGTGGGATGCCCACTCTCCTATAGACTTGGTGGGGAGTGGGCCTTTTAGGACTACCCTCGATTTGACGGATCGTGACCTGATTCGCACGGGATAGGGGTTATTCGGACGCCTCTAGTTGGTGCCGGAGTGCGAAACAACACCACCCCCCCATCCCACAGACCCACTATTTGTCCAATGACCCACAATAATTGGTCAAACGTCCTGTGATACTACCCCACCCACTCGAACCCACTATTTGTCCAATTACCCACTATACTGGGCAAATGTCACGGGACCTGCCCTATGCCACTCCTGGGCCACGCCCCTTCCCACGAACCCACTATTTGTCCAATAACCCACTATAATTACCAAATGTCACGGGACCACCCCCCGCCCTCTCCCGGGCCACACCCCCATCCCACGAACCCACTATTTGTCCAATAACCCACTATATTTACCAAAAGTGCTGTAGACCCCCCCCCCCCCCCCACACACACACACACACTCTGGGCACGGTGGGGGACGCCTGATGGGCGCCACCCACCCCGATCATGGAGCCCCAACCCAGCGTACTTTTCCGGTTACACCTCTGGGTTGGGGTAAGGGTAAATTGTCGCGTTCGCTCAAGGGCCCGGCGCTTTGGGTATGTCGCTCGGGGAGGGCCCAAGAGTCAGCGTGCCGAATTTGGGGCCCCTGGGACATTTCTGTAAAAATCCCACTTGCCCATTAAATGAATGTATTCGCCATAGTGGTTTCGTGGACGCCGCTTCGCAATGGCCGATCGACTAGGGGGCGTTTTTTTCCCGTCTCGCCACGGCCCACTGGTGCGGGTGGAAAAGTTTGGGGGCCCTCGGACCTCTTTTAGGGGTCGAAAGGCTGAAAAAGACACGATATCACGATATTTTTGCACTCAGGTCAAAGTCTCATGGCCCTCTATCAGAATCCAGAGTTTTGAGAAGATTGGAGAAACTTAATTTTTTGCCTGGAAAAAAAAAACGAAAGGGGTACCACTGTCGTTTTTTTTTTTTCGGGTCGAAATTTTGATATTCGATATCTCAGCTCTGGAAGGGTCTAGAGCCTCCATTTTTGCACTCAAGTCTAAGTCTCATAGCCTGGTTCAACCAGACTCTAGTTCATTTCATTTCCACATAGAGTCTGGAACCGCTCCATTGAGAAACGTTTCCTTCCTTGTAGGCGGGTTCACTATTAAAGTTCAAATCTATTGGATCTGCCCAAAGTCACTCACGATCTGCCATAGCCAATCGCTAACGCCCGCAAATGTTGTAGCAGCTACAGTGAATGATCAGTCTTGTCTCTATCTGCAGATGTGTAATAAACAACAATTTTTCATATTACGTCTTATTGTTTCTTAATTACCTTAATTATGGTCTTCAAAGTATGTGTTTGTACATTTTTATGTGGCATTTATTTTTTTTAGTAAAACAAATCAACCATTGCCATCTAAAACTGAAAATCAAATATCTTCAGAGTATGGTTTTTCACATTTTTATTTATGACAATTATTTTTAAAAAATCACAACCAATTTGTATGATTTACAACATGTAAAACTGACACACCAACCTCCTGCACGAGTGCACAAAGGGGCTCAAAATGTTCTATTCATCACAACAATCAGTAAATTCACAGTTGGGAATATGAGCGACTGACATGACTCCTGAGCCGATCTTCAACCATAGTTTAGCAGCCAGGACTCGGGGCTTCCGAACACCGCGAACACCAGGCTAAACCGTCCGTCGGTCATCGTGCACGAGCTGCCCAGCACAAACTTCCAAACTTTCTGCCTCCTTCACTTGGTCCTCAGTTGTGCAACAAGAGGTAAGACGATAACAATCCGGCTTTAAATACTGTATATTCGGAAGTTTCTTTTCCAACAACGGACCGAATAGCTTTTCTCACGTCTTTCTCCGCTGCCATTACTGAACTCAAACTGACGCGCTTACATCAACGTCATCTTTCTCAGCCACTCCCTCTATTCGCTGATTGGTCCTACAAAAAAATAGATTTCTGGAAACCTAAGGATATGGAGCGATCAACAGACGTAGTACAGAAGTAAAATGAAATTGAGCGGAACTGCGTAGGAGGGCGCAGCCAGGCTATAAGTCTCATGGCCCTCTATCAGAATCCAGAGTTTTGAGAAGATTGGGGAAACTTTTTTTTCGCCCCAAAAAAAAAACGTAAGGGGTAACACTGTCGTTTTTTTTCGGGGTCGAATTTTTGAGTTTCAATATCTCAGCTCTGGAAGGGTCTAGAGCCTCAATTTTTGCACTCAGGTTTAAGTCTCATGGCCCTCTATCAGAATCCATAGTTTTGAGAAGATTGGGGAAACTTTTTTTTCGCCCAAAAAAAAAAAACGTAAGGGGTAACACTGTCGTTTTTTTTCGGGTCGAATTTTTGAGTTTCGATATCTCAGCTCTGGAAGGGTCTAGAGCCTCCATATTTGCACTCAGGTTTAAGTCTCATGGCCCTCTATCAGAATCCAGAGTTTTGAGAAGATTGGGGAAACTTTTTTTCGCCCCCCCCAAAAAAAACGTAAGGGGTAACACTGTCGTTTTTTTTTCGGGTCGAATTTTGAGTTTCGATATCTCAGCTCTGGAAGGGTCTAGAGCCTCCATATTTGCACTCAGGTTTAAGTCCCATGGCCCTCTATCAGAATCCAGAGTTTTGAGAAGATTGGGGAAACTTTTTTTTCGCCCCCCCAAAAAAAAACGTTAGGGGTAACACTGTCGTTTTTTTTTTCGGGTCGAATTTTTGAGTTTCGATATCTCAGCTCTGGGAGGGTCTAGAGCCTCCATTTTTGCACTCAGGTCAAAGTCTAGCACCCCTCTATCAGAATCCAGAGTTTTGAGAAGATTGGAGAAACTTCATTTTTCGCCCGAAAATGAAAAAAAACGAAAGGGGTAACACTGTCGTTTTTTTTTCGGGTCGAAATTTTTAATTTCGATATCTCAGCTCTGGAAGGGTCTAGAGCCTCCATTTTTGCACTCAGGTCAAAGTCTCGCGCCCCTCTATCAGAATCCAGAGTTTTGAGAAGATTGGAGAAACTTAATTTTTCGCCCAAAAATGAAAAAAAAACGAAAGGGGTAACACTGTCGTTTTTTTTTCGGGTCGAAATTTTGAATTTCGATATCTCAGCTCTGGAAGGGTCTAGAGCCTCCATTTTTGCACTCAGGTCAAAGTCTCACAGCCCTCTATCAGAATCCAGAGTTTTGAGAAGATTGGAGAAACTTAATTTTTCGCCCAAAAATGAAAAAAACGAAAGGGGTAACACTGTCGTTTTTTTTTCGGGTCGAAATTTTGAATTTCGATATCTCAGCTCTGGAAGGGTCTAGAGCCTCCATTTTTGCACTCAGGTCAAAGTCTCACAGCCCTCTATCAGAATCCAGAGTTTTGAGAAGATTGGAGAAACTTAATTTTTCGCCCGAAAATGAAAAAAAACGAAAGGGGTAACACTGTCGTTTTTTTTTCGGGTCGAAATTTTGAATTTCGATATCTCAGCTCTGGAAGGGTCTAGAGCCTCCATTTTTGCACTCAGGTCAAAGTCTCGTGGCCCTCTATCATAATCCAGAGTTTTGAGAAGATTGGAGAAACTTAATTTTTCGCCCGAAAATGAAAAAAAACGAAAGGGGTAACACTGTCGTTTTTTTTTCGGGTCGAAATTTTGAATTTCGATATCTCAGCTCTGGAAGGGTCTAGAGCCTCCATTTTTGCACTCAGGTCAAAGTCTCGTGGCCCTCTATCATAATCCAGAGTTTTGAGAAGATTGGAGAAACTTAATTTTTCGCCCGAAAATGAAAAAAAACGAAAGGGGTAACACTGTCGTTTTTTTTTTCGGGTCGAAATTTTGAATTTCGATATCTCAGCTCTGGAAGGGTCTAGAGCCTCCATTTT